ACTTCCTGGAGGCGGCGCGAAACGGCAATGGCGGTCCTCTTCGGTCTCTGAAGAGGGGCTCCGCAGAAAAGGGTCGTCCGCTGCGGCACAGCGGTGACCCATTAAGAAAAACCACGGGCAGAGTGAGCCCGTGGCCGTGGGACTCGGCGGGCACCAGGAGCGACCCCAAAACGAAGAAGGAACCCCGTAAGGGGCTCCGGAAACGTGGAAGGGGAGCGGTGCTGTGAGTTCATCGCTCTTTCTGCGGGAGCGAAGCCGCGCGGCTGCTGCTGATGAGCGCCGACCTTTCTTCTTGGAACATCAGGCTCTAAACTACCTACTCGTGAGTAAGGATCAATCATTTTGGGACTAAAAGTGTTAAATTCGGCTGAAAGCGGGAGACGATAAACAGGAAGTCCGTCTTCCGGCAGTGCTTTAAAGATCAAAGGCAAAGATTTTAACAAGCGGGAAGCAGCTTTAAAAGATTATAAATTTGGGACTATCGTGTTGATAGAATTGGCTTTTAAAAAGAAGGAGAAAAGATTTTTATTTCTAAGTGTTTTGGACTTTAAATGGGACTTTCCTCCCCTTTATGGATTACAAAGAATTAAGAACCAAACCTCGGACTGACAGGAAAAAAGAGAGCTGTCATTGCGGAAACTGTATCCAAAATAGAGACTGTTACAGTTGAGTGATACTGGCAAGATACAATTAAATAAACTGTTACTGGCACCTTTTATCTGAGACTTTGTGGCAGCTTGGGAAGTGCTCTGTAAGCTAAAAAAAGTTTATGAAGAACTTTTGGTAAATTAGACTGTTTTGAGGCTGCAGGGACTTTAATGGCGGATAAAGTTCTTTCCTTTCTATGAACTACAGTAATACTCCCCCTAGTGGAGTTTTGGAATTACAAGTGCCTGGGAACAAATTTTATTTGGACTATCTCCTGCTCTGTTATTTACACTTTGGAACTGTCCTTCCCATGGGACAATATACAGCTTGACCTTGACTCATAGACAGGTGTGGAATGAGTGGCCAACCGAAAACAAGATCTGCGAAAACGAAAGCAAGACAAGCCCAACTTGTGCAAACAACTTTGACTACTCAGTCACGTAGATCATCTGTCCCAGCTGTTTTGGGAGTACAAGAAAAGAAACTGCACAGCCGGCATCAGAGGATATGGCAGAGGGAGGATCAGATACCTTCTTACAACAAATGTTAGAACAATTTGCAATATTGAACAAGAAGGTGGATGACCAATCGGCAAAAATAGATCAAGCCACATCCTCTATTACTAAATTGTCTGACCAAGTTGCACAACATACACAAGTTATTGGGAATCTCAAGGAAGCAACTGTGGAAAATCGGAGACTGGCTGAAGCAGCCAATGAAAAAGCAGAACAAGCAAATCAAAAAGTTGAGGCTATAAAAGGGGAGGTAAGGCCACTACACAAGCACATTAGTGATCAGCAGGCTTACCTGTCTATGGTGGAATTGAGAAACCGGGAAAACAATCTGAGATTAAGAGCTATCCCAGAGCTTGAACAGGAAGATTTAATTGGTTATCTGACAGCAGAATTTTCCAAGTTCTGGGGTATAGAAGAGGACAAAGATTTTAAGATCACAACTGCGTTCAGATTAGGAAGAGTCGTGAGGAGGGACAAGCCCAGAGACTGTTTGATTATTTTGAGATCCAAGCAGGAGAGAGATAAAATACTAGGCCTTCACTTTAAGAAATCACTTGATATCCAAGGCAAAAGAGCAGAATTTTATAGAGATATTCCTAAACAACTTTTGGATCTCAGAGCCACATATACAGACCTAGCAAGACTACTGAGAGGAAACGCGATTCCATATAGGTGGGAGTTTCCCCAAGGTTTATCTTTTAATTTTAAAGGAAAGAAAATTAAGATTAAAACATCAGAAGATAACCAGAAGTTCCTGCACGACCACGGAGAAGACCTTCAGAAGGGAGCAGCAGCCTCTTGGCCACCGCCACTGCCTGGAAAAGCACCGATACCTACACCCTCGGGGCCAGAAGAAAAGGAAGACACCCCACTATAGGAACAACAGATTGATTCAGAATGTCTCTGCAGCTGTACAGTTGGAATATAAATGGTGGGAACTCCCGGAAAAAGACGAAGGATTTTTCATATTTTGAAAAAGAACAATTGGATATTGTTTGCTTGCAGGAAACGCATGTGACTAGGCTCCATAGGAAAGTGTTAATCAACAAAAGACTAGGCCAAGAATTTATTTCATCAGACAAAGTCAAGAAAAGAGGCGTAGTGATTTATGCAAAGGAGAACCTGTCACCGAAATTTCTGTTTAAAGATGAGCAAGGAAGAATTTTGGCAATTGAGATACAAACACAAGGAGAAAAGTTTTTGATTTTAGGAATATATGCACCAAATGAGGGGAAATCGGAATTTTACAAGAAGCTGCATGAGATAATGCTGGACTATCTGGACTATACCAACATCATAATGATGGGTGATATGAATGGGGTGGTCTCTACTCACATGGATAAGTCACAAAATCAAAATTTAACTAAAGACGGCAGACTACCTAAAACCTTCTTTGAACTAACTGATAACATGGACTTGATTGATATTTGGAGGACAAGGAACCCCTTAGGTAAAGAAGGAACATTTTTTCTGAGGCCCACCTATCATGGACAAGAATCGACCAAATATGGACAACTAGAGGACTGGCACCTAAGATCAGAAAAGTGGAAATCTGTCCAAAGACTTGCTCCGACCATAATGCTTTGAAAGTGGAATTGAGACTTACTCCAACCGGTTCTTTCAGATGGAAAATGAATGACACCCTACTAAGAGATCAGGAGATTGTGAAGAAGGCCCAAAAAACTTTAAAGGACTATTTTGAAATCAATTTGAACACTTCGGTGGAAAAGAGAACAATCTGGGACGCAAGTAAAGCTGTAATGAGGGGTTTCTGATACAACAGAACACAATCAAGAAAAACTTTGGAATGGGAAAAAGATAGGATATTAGAGAAGATAAGAGAAGGAGAGAAAAATTGAGATTAAAACCAAAATCAAAAGAGGTTTTAAGAGAAATCAAATTCCACCAAGCTCAATATGCGAAATTGATAAATCAAGAAGTGGAATGGAAAATCAAACAAATGAAACAAAGATCATTTGAATCGGCAAATAAATGTGGAAAATTGCTAGCATGGCAGTTGAAAAAGAGACAAAAATTGAACTTTGTCACTAATCTAGAGGTGGAAGGGAGAAACATTCAGAAACCAGAAGAAATTAGAAAGTGTTTCCAGAAATATTTCAAAAAACTTTATACACAAGGGCCTCAGGAAGCGTCTGAGATAGATCAATTTTTAAAAGTTAACGGTTTATCCAAACTATCTCAGGAGAAGAGGACAATCTTAAATAATAGAATAACACGACAGGAAATAGAGGGTGCCATTCAGAATATGCAACTAGGCAAATCTCCAGGCCCAGATGGACTTACCTCCAAGTATTATAAGACACTAAAAGACTATTTGATACAACCACTAATGGAGGTTTGTAACCAGATTATGGAGGGAGGAGGGCACCGGAAACGTGGAAAGAAGCTTTCATCACATTGATTCCTAAATTGGAATCTGAAAAGACTCAGCTTAAGAACTACCGTCCCATCTCACTCCTAAATGTGGATTACAAAATTTTTGCTGATATTTTGGCGAGCAGACTTAAAAAAATACTTAACGAAGTAATTCATAAGGACCAGGCAGGCTTTCTCCCAGGGAGACATCTTTCTGATAATACCAGGAACATTATTGATATTTTGGAACTTTTACAAACTAATATCAATACGAAAGCTGTGTTAATTTTCATTGACGCGGAGAAGGCCTTTGATAATATTTCTTGGATGTTTATGAAGAGAAACCTGGAAGGGATGGGAGTGGGACGGGGGTTTGAAAATGGAATAGAAGCAATTTATTCTGAGCAAAAAGCTAAACTGATAGTAAACAATGTGGTGACAGATGAGTTCAAAATTGAAAAAGGGACACGACAAGGGTGCCCCCTATCCCCCCTTTTATTTATTTCAGTCCTGGAGGTGTTACTGAACATGATTAGGAAGGACCGGTTGATACAAGGAATACAGGTCGGAGCGAAACAATATAAATTGAAAGCTTTTGCAGATGATTTGGTTTTAACACTACAGGAGCCAGAATCTAGTACAAAAAGAGTATTAGAATTGATTCATGAGTTTGGTCGGGTGGCGGGATTTAAGTTGAATAAGCAAAAAACTAAGGTTTTGGGGAAAAACTTGACACCCTCAGAAATAGATGGGTTTCAGAAGGAAACAGAACTAAGTGTGGTAAAAAGTGAAATACCTAGGGGTTCACTTGTCAGCGAAAAATTTGAATCTATTTAAAG